TTGCTGTAGCAGGTCATTCCATACACACACCACCCTCTGTGTGAAAAAGTTGCCCCTCAGTTCTCTTTCAAATCTTTCTCCTCTCACCTTAAGCCTATGCCCTCTAGTTTTGGACTCCCTTCCCCTGGGGAAAAGACTTTGACCTATTCACCCTATTCATGCCCTTCACGTATACCCACTGCATCAATTCACAAGGCCCACACTGCTAGTTTAGGCTTTGTAATAGTCCAAGTTGAACAGCCCCTGCTCAATTCAATTTCATGCTTGTGCGAATCAGGCCGCACGCTCTTTCCCCTACTGGCAAAAAATAATCGATCCGCAAGACTCCTATTCCTGCTCCCGCCTGACATTACTAAAAGTCTGCAGAGTTGCAAAAGCTCTGAAGTCCGGCCAGGGTCTCCCATTTGTTTTTGGGTCATTTCACATTAGTCTGTATGTGTCTGTGAGGGAAATACAGAAATTTATCCGCTATATGTGTGTACTCCCCGCAGAACGAATGCAAGAGACGTCAATGCTTTCACAATAACATACGTAAAAAAAAAATATTTCAAGCATAGCAGCGAAGGGCAATGAGGAAGTCTAGAATGAAAAACAACACACAGCGAGAGATATACAATGTTCAGAAAACTGAGGATAACAATTTGATCTTTTTCCTAATAATGACACTGGAGGAAAGCTGCTCTCACTGACTCTTGAAAGCCAAGGCTGCAAACTCTGCCAGTCTTCAGTATTGCCACAGCGCAAAACTGCCACATCATCTTCATGCAGTTGTTTATTCAGAACAGAGCAAATCAGCAACATGCAATGTTAGCAACAGCGCTTCAGCACTTTCTTGAAACAGTCTCACTCATTCCTTCCTTTATCACTGAGCAAAAGAATACTCAATGGACATACTCTCCACAGATGAGGTAAGACAACATCTCCCACCAATTCCCTTATTTTAATAAATTGCTAGGCTGTCAGTAACGTTGCTCAAATACAAACAAATATTGGTATTATTTATTTGCACTAATCAAGATTATGGGCCAAGTGCTGGAAAATGGGATGAGTATAGTTAGGTGATTGGTTTTGACTAGCATGGACGTAATAGGCTTTTTTTTGTATTGTAGATCTCTATGACCACGACTATTGTCATCAGCTAGCTATGTACATAATGTTGGGTTCAGTGAGATAGGAATTAGATTAGGGATTGGAATAAAGATTCACCTGGGTAAGAATGTCTCAACTCAAGATGGAATTACTAGCCTTTTCATTCTTTACAATAGTGACAGTTTGCATTAGTTACAACAATATTAATGCATTCATTTGATTTATGAAAAGGAACAGATCTTTGAAAATAGTAACTTTCTGGTTTAATTTTACCTTGCTGAGAAATGAGGATAGCTAGGAATATCACAGAATCCCTGCAGTTCTGAAAGAAAGGTCTGCACTGACCCTCTGATGAGCATCCCACCCTATCCCTGTAACCCCACATTTACCATGGTTTACCCATCTAGCCTGCACATTTTTGGACAGTGGGAAGAAACCAGAGCACCTGATGGGAACACATACAGACACAGGGAGAATGCGCAAACTCCACACAGTCACAGGATGGAACTGAACCAGGTTCCTTGCACTGTGAGGCAGCAGTGCTAACCACTGACCTGTGGAGAGATTGCAACTTATGGGCAGAATTAAATTTTCCATTCTCAGTGATGCCATGCCCTTACCACAGTTACATTGTACTGGATAGCACTGTTTTTAACAGCTTCAGAGAGAAACCAATAGTGACTTGGTCCTAACATCCATTTGCTGTTAACTGTGTCAACGGCAGTAGAAAGTGGAGCGTTGAACCAAATACCACACCAGTGCAGGGATTAGATGACAGAGATAGCACTAGAAACAACTTAGTCAGATTCCCGAGGAGCAGGATTCGGAATGTATCACCAGGGCTCAGCAACCTTACCAGCATTTGGCTGCTTCCTTCATAAGGTCAGGTGGGTCAAGTCGAATACACAAAAGGGAAACATTGCACACGGCAATTGGAGAGAATGGGCTTGATGGACTGAAGGGCCATCCATTTATAGATCACCATGGCTACTTAATGTTTAGTTTGCATGCGGTCAAACAAATTAACAAAGCAGGTTCAACTCTTCCTCCAGTCGCTGCTTGCAACTTTCTTAATCTCAGATTACGAAGGATGAATTTCAATTTATTCTCAAACGCCTAGTCATTGCTAACTTTTAAGCTTTGCCAGACCAAGGACAGTCCTTAGAACAGCTCACAACAAACAATCTGAAACCAAACCTCATTTCCATGTCTTCTTCACTTCTCGCTGATTTTGGTTTATGCTTAGTTTCATTACTTTTTAAATCTATAGCCAGGCTGAATCCTTATAGCAGGTGCCTGGATGTTTAAGATGACAGATATAAAACTGAAGCATTAAATTCTATGGCTTCCAGCCTCCTGTTGGATGGTGGCCAATCAAATGGACTCATTGACTGAACCAAGTTGCTAATGCAGATATTTCAAGTTTACGTGACAACTTGAAAAGCTATTCCAATCCAACTGTAGTTTAAACATTTGCTTAAGTAAGGGTTAGAACAAGAATAAAACTGCAAAACTACAAAACAGGCAAGGGGATCTCCACAGTGAAAAAACACAGAGCCTGAGTTTTCCATGTGCTTCCTCTGCAAACATGAACATATTTGGAGTGTGTGTGTATGTACGTGTGCATACACGTATGTGTGTTTGATTGATTGATTGATCGAACCCTGGAATGAGATGTCTGTCCTATATTACGATGGGCTTATACTCTCCAGATTACAAGAATTGAAACATATATAATTCTTGGAGAGGCTGAATGGAACCTAATTCTAAGGGTATGGTCACAGGATAAGGGGTCAGCCATTTAGCACTGAGATGAGGAGAAAGTTCTTCATTCAGACGGTTGTGAATCTTTGGAGTCCCCTACCCCTGTGGACGGTCAGTTATTGCGTATGTTCAAGATTGAGTGTGATAGATTCTTGAGCATTAAGGAATAATGGGACTAGACATGAAAGTGGAGTTGATATAAATGTTCAGTCAGGAATGATGTAGACACCAAGGGCTGTAATAACTACTCCAGCGCTGGTTTATCACATTCAAACCTCTCATTCACTCATACGCACATAGAAATGTTAATTAGGGGAGTTGTGAAAACAAGAGCAAGCATTTTCTCTCTCTCTCTCTCTCTGTCCATGACCAGAAAATAAGGCATGCAGAAAATGGCCCTTCAGATTCATTCTGTTACGGTCAGTGCACCCTAAAACCCAGCCAGATCTCACACAACAGCAAACAGCTCAAAGAGGAGAAACCATCACCCACCACCACCGGGAGAAACAAGCATATTCAACGGTTCTGCACTACATCAAGCACTGAGGTTCCACCACCTTGAGCACATAATGTCCAGAGACTGAACAGATCAGAGATGAGACAAAAATTCAAAGAAACCATTTGATTCAATTGCTTTGATTGGGAGCTGCAGACCACAGCAGCAGGCAATGCAGAAACAGAGGCCAGCAATGCTTCGAGTGGCAGGGGTAGGCAGACCTTGATTAGAGCGCACCTTCAAACACTTACTTTAAAAATCATAAAATCAGAAGATGCATGACACCAGGTTTATAGTCCAACAGGTTTACTTAAAATCCCAAACCTTCAGGATACTGCTGCTTCGTCAGGTTCACCCTGATGAAGCAGCAGCGCTCCGAAAGCTTGTGGTTTATAACCTGGTGTTGTGCGACTTCTGACATTGTCCACCCTAGTCCAACACCGGCATCTCTACATCTTTAAAAAACCATCAACTGGTTCCCTGGCCAGATCCATACAAAAACCAAGACAAAAAAGGGACTGTGAAACTTCATCATTACCAACTCTTAGATAGTAACATAGCTGCTGTCTTTGGGGACTTATCTTTTCCATGTGAGAACTCCTTCCACTGAGATTAATAGAGCTTCCACAGAAGTGGAGTTGGTAACACTGAGGTTCCATGTGTTTATTTGTCTTCAGGTCATCCCTCCTAATCCATTTATTTGGATCAGAATTCATCTTCCCCAAGCCTTGGTAAAGACCTGCAAAGGGCTTTCCTGTTGACATTTCACTGTGTATACATAGGCTTGGCTATTGTTTTAATTATTGATAACAGAAAGCAAGCTATGCTATGCATCTGAATGGTGGACAGATAGTCTGGTCCTGCAAAGGCAGTATATTGCCCTCAGCTCTACGACTTAGGACCAATCAATTCAGCACATGTTGGTGTTTGGACTGGTCTGGTACATGTTTACCCAGTAGGAGCTTCCTCTGTACAAGAAGAGCTTCACTTCACTGTTGCATTTTTCATCTAAGCGTTTTCATGTTTGAAGATCTTTGCTGGTAAATACAACCTTGAAAGTGGAGTTCCTTCCTCATTAAAAGGTCTAACATTCAATTTGAAAAAGGAAAGCATCTCTTTAGCTGTGAACTGCCCTGATTTGGAGTCACAGAAAAACTTTGCTCAAATTGTTTCAATATGTACAACTTGCATGGAAAACAGCTCCTGGTGCCAATGATGGTGGGGGGGAGCTTTAAAAAGCTTCTTTTCTAAATTAAAACCAAACGCTGAATTTGCAGGGATCTTGGGAATTCACTGCCATTGCCAAAATTAGAAATTTGTGGCTTGCAAATTTTGATAACAAAGTCCCATTAATAACCTCCCAAACCAAAGTAAGGTGATACAAGGCCACTTAATTCTTCAAAGCAATACACTAGCCATTTGGGTTCAGATTTTTTTTGCTAGCCATTGAAGAGGACACTCACCGATATGAAACATTATATTTGACTTTTGAATGTCTAATGTGCCACAAAGATGTATTTACAAGCAAGAATTGTCAGTTGTAAATCACATTCACTAAGTTTGTACAGTGAAATCATTGCCTAATATTGTCCTAAAAATTATACAATCACATTACTTTGGTTAATGCCTGCTCAAGGCCAATCACCCTTACCTCCTCTTCTCAGATTGGTTCAGGCCTGGGCTTCTGGGAAGGTTCTCTATTTCAATCGGTCCAGTGGCACTGGGTAATGAGGCTGTAACAGGGATGGCTGACCTCACCATTGCCGTCTTCAGAGAGAAAGAAAATTAAAGCAATTGACTGTGCACAACATAGGACCAAACTACAAACACAGAAGAGATGAGTGTTCCTAGTCCAGTGAGGCAGGGTTGGAGGCAGAGGGGAGCCAGAAATATGGAGACAGCCACATGAGGATGGTGCCACTGTCAGGAAACTTTACCAGGAGTTGTCTGTAACCTAATCGACTACCCACCACTGAGAGGCCGGTTAAGGTTAAGGACCCAGCGAGGTGCAACTTTGCAGCATCACCAGAAATTTACAACCTGCAGAGAGGCAACTCGGCACGTGAACAGGCATGCTCTGAAAACAGCCTCCCTGCAGCAGATCTGTGGAGACAAGGCCACAAATGTGGTCTCACCTGATCCAGCAGAGCTCCAGGGTCCTGACCCGGCTGAGGGAATTTTTACTGTCTGTATTCTGTGTCAGCCAGTGACAGCACACTCACATGGAGGTGCCCTCGCAGGTGTCTACCTACCTCTGCAGTGTCCACCTCCTTCCCTGAGCAGCTGGTGCTACTACTAATAGGTTGGCAGTCATAGGAACCCACTGACCGTGACCAACAGGATGCCAAGCAGACAGGCAGCCAATTTGGAGCCCACCTCCTGGACGCTCATGCTGCCAATCTCCGTGTGGGTCTCGGAGGCCCCATTCAGTCCTGAAACCTTCAAGAGCATCCAGCTCTTCCACTTCACATTATAACAACACAACTCAACCCCAGCCAATACCTGTGCCCTAAAGTGCTCAACTATTTCCACAGACTTTCAAAGTTATTTTCAAAATTATAGCACCCCATCAAGTCACAACAGTTCAAAAATGCTTCAGCAAATATATTACTTTTTGCCAAGTCATCAAAGAGTTATTGTGTAACAGAGTCCAACGTAGGAATAAACTTTTGTGCTCCATTCTCAATGCAAGAATGAAGTACGAATCAGCCTTGATCTAACTGAATGGCAAAGTAAGCCAAATGTTACTACTCTACTATCAAGGAAGGACAGCTCAGGGTAGTCGGTGTTGAGATTGAACTGTTGCATTTTTGGCACCTTGATTTATTGGTTTCATTTTGACTGATAGAGACAATGTCAAGTCAATGCCCACATCATTAACTGAAAACTGAGCCTGCACTTCCAATTTACTCTCATTTAATTCAATGTTTACTTGCAAACAAAACCATTTCAGGCCCACTGGAAGCAGCAGGGGAGTAGGATTTCTGAATAGTATTCTCAGGGCGGGCCAGGCATGAGGGGCTAAACCATCTCCTGCACTGTGTAACTCAATTAATGCAGAGTGTCTGTCACTACCGCTGAATACTGAAGCTGAGACCCTCTTCCAGTAGTTAAGCACATCCAGCCACAGACCTGCTATGTTTCTTTTTCAAAGGTTTTTCACAATGAATCGCATTAAAGACACATACAAAAGAATTTAAAATTTCCTGAGGGTATGTAGTTGCCCGAGCTCCAGGGCCAACAGCAAGAGAGCACATGATCTGCAATAGCCTTAGAGATCAAGGCAAACTATGCTGGAGATAGAGCCAGACACACAACAATAACAGGCACGTACCTGGGAGGCAGGTTTCTGGTTTGCTGCATTAATGTGAGAACTGGTTCGAAAAGACAACAGAGAAAAGAATCATCGCAATTTTTAAAAAAGAAAAGCAAGTGTTAAAATAACATTTAAACTATGACTATAGCCTTTTAATATATTCTGTACCAAAAGCTTCAAACTTGTCGTTTTTCTTTTGTAGTGATCTCAATTGTTTAAAACAAGCATTTCGCTACATTAAGACAGTGGAAACCATGACTATTACAATTAAACTCAAATCCGACAAATCATAATTATAGAATCATAAATCTACAGTTTGGAAGAGGCCATTCGGCCGATCAAGTTGACTCTGACCGTCCGAAGAGCACCCCAACCAGACCACCCCTGCTACCCTGTCCCCCTTAACCCCACATTTCCCATGGATAATCCACCTAACGTGCACATCCCTGAACACTACGGGCAATTTAGCATGGCCAATCCACCTAACCTGCACAAGTTTGCACTGTGGGAAGAAACCCACGCAGACACAGGGAGAATGTGCAAACTCCACACAGACAGTCACCTGAGGGTGGAATAGAACCTGGGTCCCTGGTGCTGTGAGGTGCCATGAACCACCTTACCACTTGGTGGCAATAGATCCATATCCTGAGAACTGGGTTTAAAGCCAATAGAATGAAAGGATTTCACAGATGTCATAATTACATCATCATTCAGGCTGGCTTGGTATCTGCCTTTCAAATGACCCTTTAAAAACGGTTCAATATGGGACCCAACACTGAACTAAATGACAGTGCTAAATCTTTATTACCACATAGTCAAAAGTCACATAACACCAAGTTATAGTCCAACAGGTTTATTTGAAATCACAAATTTTTGGAGCATTGCTCCTGCATCGAGTAACTAAATTTCTCCACGTCATTTCTTACCACATTTTAGAGGAATAACACCTCTTCTGCTCAGGCATCCTACAGTCTTTCGGACTCAACATTGAGTTTAACAATTGCGGAACATGAACACCCTGTTCCTTATCAATTACCTTACCCCCATAACCCCAGGGCCTGTCTCAAAATGGGTTGCTTTCAGTGCAGCCAACCCATTTTCAACTACTCATTGTTCCCATTAATACTTATCTAACTTCTCTACTTCCCTGTCCTACTATCAACAAACCCTTTGTCTGCCTGCCCTTTCTCCTCTCTCTCTCTGGGCTCCCTCTCACCTCACTCTCTTCCCCCCTCACCCTCTGTCATCAGCATGAGTACCACTATTTCCTAGTTGCTTACAGTTCTGAAGTAGGGTCACTGGACTTGAAACATTAAACTCTATTCTCCCTCTGCCGATGCAGTCAGCTCTGCTCCATTTCTCCAGTGCTTTCTGTTTCTGTTTGTTTCAGATCCCCAGCAGCACTTCTAGGTTTTATTTCACTCAGGGTCCTGACTAGCTTTAGGCCTCATGACATTGTACTCATGTTGCACACAATCTTAACACCACTCTCGCACAGGGGCTATTCACTAGAGTTCAGAAGAGTAAAATATAAATCTTTGGGAGTCTAATTTCAAACAACTTGCTATGAATTCACATCCTCATCTAGTTGTGTTTAGTCATGTCAGAACAGGAGGCCCCTTTAAAAGCAGCACAACAGCAACAACAAACTGAGCACCAAGCAGGAGGAATTACTGCAGCACTGTGATAAATGAGAACAAATTGCATTCAGCAGGAGGAGGAGAGGTTTATCCTCCTCCACAGGCAAACTGGAGAAAATAAAAGATTAATTTAAAGAGGCATGGAATTTTCTAGATTAACAGTGGCACAAGATGTCTTGCCAGAGCTTCTAACAAGCCCAATGACACACAGCACCATAACATTTACCTTCATTGAATTATACAGTATAGAAAAGGCACCTTGGCCCATCGAGTCCCATGCTACCCAAAATACACCACTACCCACACTAGTCCCAAAGCCTTCAATGTTATCACACTTCAAGTGCTCATCCAAGTACTATCCTCCCAGGCATTACTTTCAAGACCCCCACCATCTTTTGGGTGAAACAACATTTCCTGAAATCCCCTCTAAACCTCATTCCTTTCACTTTAAAGAAGCATGCCCCTTGCTAATGACCCTTCAATTAAGGGGAACAGTTGCTTTCGACCCAACCTGGCCAAGCCCCTCATAATCATGTACACCTCAATCAGGTGCCCCCTTGACCTTCTCTGCTCCAGAGAAAACAAGCCGAACTTATCCAGCCTTTCTTCATCACTGAAATGCTCCATCCCAGGCAACATCCTGTTGAATCTCCTTTGTACCCCCTCCAGTGCAAATGCATCATTCCAACAGTGCATTAACCAGAACTGCACACTGTACTCCAGCTTGTCTTAAACAATACATACATTAACAGAATCTACAGCACAGGACAGCAAACACAACAGGGAATATACAAGAGGATTAGAAGGTCCTTTTGAATCACTACAATATTAATTACATGAGAACTGTGAGGTGTGAAAGCCAGGAAGGCTAATTAGTATGGCGCACACAACAATTTGAAGTAATGTAAACTCTCACACAGTCAAATAAAGTTCTTCTCTTCAGATAAAACCAATTTTTCATGCTTCAGAAAAGCCACAGAATCAGGAAACACACTAGAAAATATAAATTTATTTACACTCTGGTGGATTCAAACCTGTTAGCAAAATGCCATTTCAATCTGCACCTACCCACTTCATCACCATGACTGTCCACTCCCATCTCTGTAATTATACCCTGAATCTGGCCTTGATTCAACTCATCTTCTGCTGAACTCCTCAACAATACTTTCAAGGCCACTAAGATTGACTATTCTGATAGCGACCACCACTGCTGGGTGCCCTCTTATTCTCCTCCCTGCATATAGGGTCATAGGAAAGACAGAGCATGATTTCCAATTTTGCACAAAGTGCTATTCACCCAGGATTCACGTTCACTCACCTACATTGGCCTGCGGTCTTCAAATGTCTCAATTTTAAAATTCTCACCCTGGTTTTTAAATCCCTCTATAACCTCACTTCTCTGTACCTCAGTGACCTTCGAGGTAATGACACTTTTTCAATTCTATCCACTTAAGAATCTGCATTTTTAATCACACCTCCATTGGGGATGACTTCAGCTCCCAAGGCCCTCATCTCTGGGAACTTCATCTCGCTTTTCTTCTTTAAAACATTCTTTTAATTCCTTGAATCCTATCTCTTGAACCCAAACTTTAGTTCACTTGCCCCAATATTAACTTATATGGCTCGGTATCAAATTTTGTTTGATAAAACTCCACTGACACTTTACTTCGTCAAAGGTAACATACAAATGCAAATTGTTGTTGTTGGGATAACGATACTAAGTAAGGGCACTGGAATTGGCGTTGGTATATTGGACGCAAAATGACTGTTTGTGGGTATCAGTACATTCTCACTGGTTACAGTTCTGAACCGATCCTACATATGTTGGCGTATGTGCCTGTGAGTGTTTGCTAGGAACAGAACCAGACTTCGCTATAATGTACAGCCTAACATTTACTGTCAATGCTTAGGCATACATCATGAGCAGCAACAGTTACATCTATGTAATTCTTATTGATACCATACAGCAAAGCAATAATTTTATTTGTATCATTTTGAACACCACAGACTGTTAAAAGTACTATAAAAGTACTGCAAAACTATACTCTTGTCCTGTAGTAAAAAACAGAAAATCTTGGAAATACACAGTAGCTACCAGACCTGCAGGGTATTTCCAGCATTTTGTGGTTTTATTTCAGATTTCCAACGTTTGCAGCATTTTGCTCTTGATTTATAGATTTTCCATGTGGTCTACAAAAACAATGAATTAAAATCTTCTGAACAGACTCTACCTGGTCGGTGACTCTCAGTCACCTCTTACTTTGAACTCAGAAAGACATTCACTTACCTTGGTTCCAAGTTTCTGTTGAAAGGATTCGCTGCAAGATTGCGAGTAACAGCAATCATTAGCATTCTAGCAATGGTAGCATTTAATACATTATGTTGGTGCAGTAGAAAAATATATAATGCAATCCAAAGTCAGTTTGAAACTAATATAATTATATCACTGTGTATTCAGTTCAAACCATAGCCCACAGAGTTTAAAATAATGGTGAAATATGCCTACTCACTCCTCACAAACACCAAACATCTGACTCACAATAGGAGATATTTTCAACCCCTTTGCCTCCAGCATCCCTGACGTAAATGCCTTCTCGTATTGTGTTTAAGGTCAATGATTTTTATACTTTCCCAATACTTCATCTTGCAACACTAGAATAGTCAACCACTAACCTATACATACACAAAACTAATTTAAAAATCTCGAGAGATTGTAACCATGTAAATTAACCATTTTCTGTGTGGGAGACTCTTTCTTTGTAAATGCCGATCCCACTCACGGGGGCCCCAGTCTGAACTTGCAAGAGATGAGCATCAATAACCTGAAGGACAGCAGAAAGTGTGCATCTTGGGAGTGTAGGACAGCAGAAATTGTGTGAGACAAATAAAGAAACATCACGATCTGGAATGCACTGCCTGAAAAGGTAGCAGAAGAATATTCTACAGTGACTTTGAAGGGAAACATTGTTTAACTATGGAGAAAGAGCAGGGGAGTGAATCCAAATGGATAGGACTGTCAAAGAGCTAGTAAGAGCCCAACAGTCTGAATGCCACCTCCAATACTGCAAGCACCTATCAAAGCAGTACAGAGGCCTGCTGCCCAATTTGGAGATGTTCCTCCTATCTCCCAGACCTTTCTGAGACAATCCTAGTAAGAAAGTAGTTTGCAGATACAGCAGGTCATAAGGGAGGCAAACAGAATCTGGGCAATTTTTTTGCTGAAACAATAAAAGTAGGGAAATGTTGTTGTAACTGTATAAAGGCATTAGTGAGACTGCACCTGGAGTACTGCAAACAATTTTGGTCCCCCTACTTGAGGAAGGATGTATGTGTATTAGAGGCAGTTCAGAGGAGATTCGCTAAAATTCGTTTCAGAGACAAGGGGTTTATTTTATGGAAAGAGATCGAGCAGTTTAAGTCTGTACTCTCTGGAGTTTAGAAGAATGAGAGGAGATTGAATGAGGTTTGGAAGATGCTAATGGGGATTGACAAAATGGAAGGATGTTTCCTCACATTGGAAAATCTAAACTGAGAGGTCACAGTTTTAGGCGAAGGGGTGGCAGATTTAAAACAGAGGAGGAATTACTTCTCACAAGGGTCATGAATATGTGGAATTCACCACCCAGAGTACACTGAATGCTAGGACACTGAGTAAATTTTAAGTAGGAGATAGACAGATTTTTAATTAGTGATTGGTTGAAGGGTTATGAAGACCAGGAAGGAAAGTGCAGTTGAGGTTAAGGTGAGACCAGACATGATCGTATCAAATGGGGGAGCAGGCTTGAGGGGCTGAACTGCCTGTTCTTACATTCTCATGTTAAATATTTTGTCACCTTGCACAGAATGGAGACACTAGGTGTGATTGGTCAGTCATCTCCTGAATATATTTCAATTGCTTAAGAGTGAGGAACACTCCATTTTTGCTTCTCATAAAATTGGCCTGAGAGTTTGATCCCTCCCAGGATTTTGGATGCCCTGTTTGCCAGGTGATTTCACTATCTCCCATCACTCAGGTGCCCACTTCAACAGTCATATAATTACCTCTCTGCTGTGTTGATCTTCTCGAGTAGCGTCTACTAGGCCGCCGCTCAAAAGACACTTGACGTCGTGGTTTACTGATTTTGGTGGTTTGGTATTCCGTTCTTCCACTGGAAATCAATCACTTCAGAAATTAATTCCTGAAATTGTCAGAGTGGGGCACAAGTACAAAAATGTCTGATTGCTTCTGATAACTGGAGTCGTTCAGCTGTAAGCACGTCAATCCCTCCAGCTATTAGCAGAGGCAATCCAAGCAGAAAAATCTGATTTTGGCTATTTTTTTTGTCAAAACACATGTTAAACTCGAAGGGATCTTAGAAATTCACTAGTACTGCCCAATTTGTGGTTAGCACAACCAGATAGGCTGAGTCACAAAGCCTCAAGAACTGGCCTCAAGTAAATGAAAGGTAGATAAAGATCTCTTAGCTCTTTAGGCCAATGCACTTTCAATCTCTGATCTGTGCTGTCACTTAGACAATGTTCAATCACCAGCACCCCAGCTCAATCTTAGAGAGAAAACACGAAGACAGAGTGTGTTTGGACAGCAGGTGGGACTGGTATCAGGGTTAATTTTCCTTCTCATCCTTTCACTCCATGGATTAATTACCCAGTCATATATCCATTGGTAAGTCACTTGGGGGTTAGCACTAGAGGGTAAAAGAGTGCACGCAGAACTGTACTCCAACTGGAGTTCAAACTGTCAAAAAAAATGGAAGGGAGAAGAATGAGAGGCAATAAAATTTGCAAAAATAGGCAAGAAAAAAACATTGGTTGTTTGATAAGAAAAGTGAAAGGATGTCATTAAAATATTTATAAAAATACGACCTAAGGGGTCATGTCTCTACAGGACTGAACATTGTTACATTTCACCACTTTTCTTAAAGGGATTTGCTTCCTTACAAGAGGAAACATTTAACTCAGATCAATTTTAGAAGAAACGCAATCCGAATTAAATAGTGCTGTACATCACAAGACAACTCCAAAACAATGTGGATTAAACTCTAGTGCAGCTATTCTAGAGTTGACATAGAGAAGTGTGAACACACAGTAGTGCAATGAATGTTCCATCTGCACTGACAAACTACCCAATCATATTCTAGCCGTACATATGGTTTGAAACACTCACTCAAACACCATGTTATACTGCACTACAGGCCAGTTAATCTGTATTAGCTTTTACATTCCACACGAGTCTCTTTAAAACCCTTCTCCTCTAATTAAATCAGCATATCCTTCCTATTTATTTCTCTCTTGCATGCATTTATCTAAATTCCCCTTAAATGCATCTCTGCTAAACACTTTAATTATTCCTTCTGGTAGTGAATTCCACATCTTAACCAATTTTTGGGGAAAGAAATCTCTTTGAATTCCACACTGAATTTATTATTGACTATCTTATATTCTGGATTGTGATTTTAGTCACCCCCACTGGCAGACATTTTTTTATCCATCTATTTTTATCAAACATTGCTCTCTTTAAGACCTTTATTAAGACACTGTGCAACTTCCTCTTTTCCAAACGATAAAGACCCAGTTTGTTCAATCCTTCCTGAAAATCATTGCCCTAATAACCTCTCCATGAGAGCAACATTCCAATGTTTACTGTCTCATTACAGAACCAAGGAAATAAAATGAAGCTAACGCCTTCTCCGCCCTACACCACACCATTCAGATTCTTGTTCCACGTGTAGTTTATCAATGTGCCATGTGAATGAAGGGGACACAATACAAAATGGCGAAGAAGTGGGGGTCCAAGAGGATTGCATGGGCCTCCTCACATTATTACCATGAAAAAAAACTGCTTCATCCAGACACAAGAATTGCAGTCTAACCCATACCCCTTCAGAGTTTGTTCAACAATTTTACAATTAGGTTTGACCTACTCAAAAAGAGGGCTCTAAATATTGTAATCAGCAATGTTTGGGGATTGTTGTGTCGATAAAGACAATCAAGCAAAAGGTGCTCATTTATTGCTCGAGGAATGAATGACTGCTTGTCAAGGATAGCATATTCAGGAGCTTCCCATAAAAGGCCCTCCCACCAACTGAGAGGGTGCGCTTGATATGTGGTGCAGAACAGTGACTGAGGAAGGATTTACAGAGTCAACACGGATGGACAGGATAAAGGTCAACGATCACAACTAAAACAGGCTCTTGCTATAAGCTGCCTGTTATTTTGTGAGTGTCATAAACTTCCAATGACAAATATAATTGATGGGGAGGGACCTACTGAGTAACTTGCAGTCAGCCACTTAAGGTTTGAAGTCCAGTCTGTGCAAAACCTAATCCCACATTCACTGGGAATCCCAATTTCAGGACATGACTAGTATTCACCGTAAACACAGAGAGTAAACCTGCACCTACCAACCAGGAACATTTGTTGGTGTATTCTAGCAAATAACAGATATTAATTTCAATTTGCAAAGTAGGCTTACAAGGACGATACCAGAATCGGAAAATTATAACCATTGCTAAAAAATGAATAGGTCTAGCTCGATTCTCCAGTCGAGAAAAGGCTGAGGAGTGGTCTGATAGGGAGTATTGAGGGGTCTGGACATAGCTGATAACGAAAAATTCTTCCTGCCGTTTAAGGCTCAAGAATGAGATGGCACAGATTTAATGTGATTGACAAATGAAAGAAAAGCAATGTGAGAAACAGGGGCAGTGCTTAAGGTCTGGAATGCACTGTCTGAGACAATGTGGTTGAAATGAGGCTTTCAAAAGCAGGTGAGGCTATTACTTGAAAAGGAAGAACATGCAGGGCTACACAGAGCAGTCAGGGGAATAGGAATAATACTTAGTCAGACAGCAGGTACAGATATGATGGACTGAATAGCCACCTTCTGCACTGTGACAACTCTGATTCTGTGAATTCTTCAGCATTACAACAGGGATTTAATAGATTGGAGGTAAAGTAGCTGTGTCCACTTGTGGGAGAGTCTGAAGCAGGGGTCACTAACAAATTTATTTTGTCAAGTGGGCAAAAACGTCTTTACCTGAAGAGTTGACCTTGCCATTGAGTGGTTCAGGTTAACAGCACAGATGCATTTAAAGGGAGGCTAGATAAGTACATGAGGGAAACAGGAAGGACAAGTTATATTTATGCGGCAAGAAAAGGCAAGTTGCGAAGAGGCTCATGTGAACCATAGACACTGGCACAGACCAGTAGGGCTTTGTCTTATAAATGTATGCAATACTCACAACATGAACTGAATTTGTATTATCCTTCAGGAAATCCCAGTTGATAATATGCATTTAAAGGTATACACTCTATTAAACTAACAGTCACATCCCTTTATTATTCCAAGATCATGGCCCCAATCCACATCCGCTTTCTCAATGGTAACACATCTTCAACGAGTCTCCATTTTCACTCCATCCACCATTCACCTTCATAGACTCTTGAACCCTTCTGCAAACATTGTCAGGTAATGTAACAGGTCCGTTGGTCTCAGGCCACTTTACCTGTATCTAAACCGGGAGCCCATCCGCACAAAGGCTATCTGGTTGGACTTCTTCTGGACAGGTCCACGCAGTCGAAAAAACGCATGGTGTTCCACAGCACACTTCCAGAGGTGTTTGCAAGCCTTCGGGTGATCCAGTCGGAATACAAAGGTGTGCTCTTGTTCTTTCCCCTAGTGAGGGAAAAATGTCATGTTCAAGTCGTTCCCTGCAGGTCTCACTGGGTTTTGTGCTGTTTCCTTTCATAACTGATGCCATGTATGATTTCTTAGCTTACCAGGCAGTAGAGCATTCCAAAAGTTTTTTTTTTGTTTTACCATAGTTACCATCCCCTCACTGTCCCAAATGGGGAAAAAAAAACGCTGCTCTTTGCTATGCAGTTCCAGGAAGTTCCAAGTTTTCCACACACCCATTCTAGATTTTTACTGAATTCAAATTCCACCATCTGCCATGGCAGGATTCAAATTGCGGTCCCCAGGCCATTATCTGGGGTCTCTGGATTAACAATCTAACAATAATACCGCTTGGCCATTGCCTCCCCATTCGCATTCTAGACTTTCCCATGAAGGATGATAATTTACACCAGATCATGGCAAGTGACCAGAGACTACAGGCTGAATGTTATGCTCACCTGACCGTAAGGTTAAAGTGGGGCGTTCGTATCCAGCCTGTAACCTGCCCACTGCTTATCCTGACCCGGGAGCCATTGTAGCAGTAGGTAGCCCACTCGCCCTGAGGTTAATTGAAGCCCTCAAGTCACTAATTAATGGCCTCATCCCACCCCAGCCAGTGGCCACAACTTTGCTTGTGGTGGTGGTGTTGTGGGAGAGCTCCATTTGGAGAACCTCTGGTGTAATGGTGGCTCAAAGTGCCATCCACAATCCTCTGTGTCTATCCAACAGCACCCCCCACCACCCTCACAAACATCCTAAGCATTATCAAATCCTCTAGTGTCTTTGCCCCCTAACCCTCTCAAGCCCTCTTGCCCTACCCATCCCTACCCAATGACCTCCCAAATCCAGTCCTCACTCCCCTCCACCCACCATCTCGTTGCCAAGGCCAGCCAACTTGGCCACAGAAATACTCTGGGCTTCCCCAGGACTGAGTGTGCTCTTTGTTGGCTTTTTCTATCAACTTACTTTTCTTTCCTTGGCAGATTTTCTGCCGTTCTCTCAGGAGTGTGTAGTTGGGCTGCAATTACATGCGCTAATGCTACAAGTGCTTAATGATTGTTAAGATTGAAGCCTCTCTTACCTGCCTAATTACAGTGATCAGGTCCTAGATAATCACACATTTCATGCTTGTGTCTTTACCAGAAGGCACCAGCTCCTGGGCAATTGCCACCTTGCAATAGCTCACCCAAGTGGCCAACTTTCTTGTAAGAATCGAGGAAATGAATATTCACCAGCGTGTGAGCCACAGGCAGGCAGTACCTAGCCATTAGTGAGAGGCCAAGTCGTATAATCAGTTGGAATAATTCCACATGTTTACTCAAAGCATACAGCCCAACCTTTCATTAAAATCTGGAGCATATACCACCAAGGAGGTTTATAATTTTGAACTTCCATTGCCATGAGTAGTAACTGGAACAAACTCAGAATTTGCTGAAAAAGCTCAGCAGGTCTGGCAGCATCTGTGAAGGAAAAAATCAGAGATAGCGTCTGGGGTCCGGTGACACTTGCTCAGATTGACAGCGAGAGAGCGAGCACGCGACAGAGGGGGGGAGAGAGAGAGAGAGAGAGAGAGCGAGCGCGCGACAGAGGGGGAGAGAGAGAGAGAGAGAGCGCGAGCGCGCGACAGAGGGAGAGAGAGAGAGAGAGAG